ATGCGCATAACAGCCAAAATGAAACAAATTAACATTAATTTAAATTTATTATTTATAAATCATAAGAGTTATTACAATTTCCATTATTACGTTAAGAGTAGCTAGGTAGTTTATTAAGTAGGTAGGCAAGTAGTTGTACAAAACATAACCTCTTCTTGACGGTCTGGTAAAAAGGCAAACTTTTAATGCTAAGCATTCTTTAGCAGTCAAGTCGTTATGCATATACTTTATGCATCTTCAATTAGAGCTGCTTTAGTATTAGATTTAACTTCTTCATACAACCCTGGCAATAAATTATGGGCGAAATGTTATCACGATGAATAATTTGGGAAAGCAAACTTTATTAATTCGCGAAGCCCCTTGTCGTCCACTTTAGAAAATGGCTTGAAGTCCCATGTAAACAAATTCAAGAAATGATCGTCAATTTGCTATTTTATTTTTTGACAATCGCGCCCGAGAAATGTTGAGATAGTGGGCATAGTGGCTGTATTGGACCTTATTAGGTGTTATACCATACTAGGTGGTGCGTCAGTTTGCAATGGAGTATTGGATGTCGTAAATTGTGTACTTTGTGAAGCATGCGCCGGTACCTCTTGACGCTCCACTTCTTGCTCTCTTCTCACTAAATTAACAGAAATATGTTTTTTCTGTAATTTTTGGTAAGGGTTAAACTTTCCAATATGGACCATCGATATATGAGGTTTTAGGGGCGGGAGGAGGCAGGGGGCGGTGAGGGAGGGCTACTCCCCTGTGCTATTCCTACCCTGCGGAACCCCATGGTTATGGAGATATTCATGGTTAAAGTTTTAAGGTTAGAATAGCGCTATTTAGTTAATAGAATGATTTTAATCTGATATTTTCTTTCCTTACCATTATCTCGTTTTACTTTATTATATTATTTATTATTATTGGATGGATGGAAGGAGGGAGGGGGGGGGGGGCTTTTTGGTCTCCGCTACGGCGGGCGGGCACTGCTCTCCCGCCGCGCCTCCGAGCTCTTTTATATACACTATAGGGGTAGGGCAGACAAGATCACGTGGATAGTGGGGTGCTCTGATTCGGATTTGGATACTTTTTGGATATTAAATAAGTAAGTAAACACTTTATTGTAGTAAGAATTAGATAATACAGAAACTTGCAAACAATGAAATACAAGTACTAAGGTAGAACTGAAATAGAGTAAACTTTATTCTATTTTATATACATATTTAATTGCACTTATCAGCTCTTCTTATGCATCTTAATGGTTTGTCATAATTTTTCGTCTCCATAAGTACTCGCACAACCAATCCGTAAAATTATGCTTGTTGTTTTCTTGTTGGTGTTGTCTGAATTGTTTTTTTTAATCCTCTCCACTGGCTCTCAATACGCTGCGTTTGTGTCCCGTCTGGTGCCACAAATTTCTCAGTTGGATCGCTATGATTTACTCTTTTATGAATATATCCATGCTCAGGAAGGCTCAGATATGCTATCCAATAATCTGTGGGAATGATGGAGACCTTCCTGGACATGTTTTTTTATGAGTGACACCAATATGTCCGCAGACCTTTCATTATCAGGACACACCTCAAGCCGCAGATCGTCATTGCCATCTTCAATCATGCCAATCACCCAATGTCCTTCAATGTGTCTCCCACGGTTATAGTTCCTTTTTCCAAATTTAGATTCATCTATTTGAACCACTTAATTAGGGCCCCCTATCTTCCCTTGGGCCCTTTGATTTTCTAGTTCATAAATGGCAATTGTTTCCCGGCAATAACTGAACCAGTCAGCCACAGTTTTGTCAGAAACTACTAGGCTGTCATCACAGGCTAACTCCTTCCTCGTTTGGTGGTAAGACAGTCCCTCACTAAATGCATACATAATTTGAAATATTCAAGTGAGGGACAAGTGCGTTTTCAAACCAGGTCCCAATAGCACGAGAGACTGTTTTGGTGCGGCAGTTGCTTTTCCGGCATCTAAATTTTTCCAACTTGCCCTGATTCTTTTGTCAAAATCATTGACTTCCGGTGGTATGTGCAGATTTTGTCTACTGCGATGAGTCCTCTCTCCTCCGCAAACTGAACACACTGTTCGTGTGTACCCAATTTGGAGAAGATTTTTCTCCAGTTACACATGGATCTAAATAAAAAAGGTATTATAAAGAGATTATAATTGCTACTTTTTGGGGGCTGGTTCTCCACAAATAAAAATATATACAAATTGCATTGTGAAGTCAAAACGGGACAAATTTTTATCCATTTTTCAGCTATAAATTTCATTTTAAAATCCACTGCAGCCTTTATGCAATCAAACTTTATTAAAATTCCAGTAAGCAAATTTAAAATTTGACTAATTATACGTCCATTTATAACCTGACCTGACCTTAAATAACAATGATAATGTACAGTAATCATAACATAACTCAAAACTTACCTTAACTCGTCCGAGTAAGGATTAAGCCTTCTGCCAGATGACCCAGTAGGTCTGGGCATCGCAGCAGCAAATTCCTCGCCCTCGTCCTCTAAAGAACTAGCTATAGCTGATAGGCTACCACAAGAACCAGCTGCTCCACTGGGACCAGTCATCCCCCTAGGACCAGCAACCGGCTCGTCAAAGACCGGAGATCGCACACACGGGAGCACCGTGTGTGCGATCCACGGTAGCTCCCCAAGTGGCTCATTTGAGTCTAACACTTGCACTTGCGTAGTAGTAGGCACAAGCGGCTCTATTGAGTCCAACACTCGCGCACTACTTGAAGACGGCACAGAAGAGGAAGCCGTGACAAGCGGCTCACTTACACATCACTCAACTCTACAGACACAGAATCATGGGTCTTCGGAGAAGCCATGGTAGTCAAACGTTGTAAGCTTACAGGAGTACGTTAAACGATCTCAACTGCAAGGCCAACGGGCGACAAACGATGACTGGACGCTATTAAACAAAATGAATAGCCGTTAGTGTCGTTTCGTGTTTCATTCTAAGCAGTAAGCAGTGTAAAAACAAAGTTAGTGATCCGCAAAAAGTATCGATATCTGAGTAGTATCGTTTCATTTCAATACCAAGTATTTTTGTACTCGATACACTTTTTACGATACTTGAGTATATATCGATACTTTCTGAAGTACTCGATACTTTAGAACAAGATTCTATTTAAAGTAAAAAAACTTTTATGAACTACTATTTACATATTATGCTGGTTTTGAATTGACGTAAAACTCCTGTAGTGTAATTACACTGTCTACCTTGCCAAGAAATAGGCTTTCACTGAGTTCTGCCATTGTCAACTGAATGTTTTATTTGATCGGACTAACATATAAATCTGTAGTGTGTAAATAAGTGTAAATGTACCTACCTTTGTTATTAAAAAGTAAATTTTCCTTTTTTTATTTAAAGTTACACAAATGACACAAATGAAGACTTTTTTCCCTACTATCAATACCGTATGTCATCAATATTGATACTTCTGTATAGTGCCCATCACTACCTTCCTAGAAGCAAAAGAGGCTACGCACAGATATGACTGCCAATTTGATCGATTACAGCGTGTTGTCTCTTTCTATCGCACTATTGAGTATATTTGATGATAGAGTGTCACTACACAAAAAACGTTCAGTTCAATGCTCGGCCTCCATGCTTGTTGATTGCTCCGAGCACTGCAGCGCTGCGGCAAGGAACACAGATAAAAAATCGGGCCTTCATGCACACTTTTGGAACGATTGCCAATGGCACTGCGAGCAGCTGGCTGCATGCAGTGCCGTCAGTGGGTCCTATTAGCCACTGACTGCCATCGTAACAAATTACATAACTATAAGTGTCATGTCCTATAAAAACAGTTTTCTAATTAATCAAGTCGATGTTGCTAGTAGGAAGGCGTCCCATAACACTTGCACATCTTTCTTTGAGGTAAATTTGTGTTCACGAACGCATTTTAAAATTAACGAAATGTACTCGATACCAAGTAGTATTGATATTTTTGATGCGATACTTGGTATCGAGTAGATATCGATACTTTCAAAATTTTCGGAAACCTACACTAATTGAAACGTGAACCATTTTTCCTTAATAACTCCATTAAACAACAAGTATCAGATAATTTTTATATCGCATATGGAAGCTAATGTTTTCAGCTATCTGGTAATTTCAACAAAATTTAAGTAGTCCCAAGGGCTTCGTTATAATTTAGCTGGATGCATTTTACTATATTAATGTAGGTCAAGCTCTGATCAGTAATGTCACTTACGATATTGTTCGTGTAAATTTATATTTCGACGGCAACAGTAAAATCTTGTTGCGCTATTATTCGTGTAATTTGTTTTGTATACTGAACATTTGTAAAAAGCAATTATTAGGTTATTCGATTGTTTAACAGTAACGTACATTTTATTGTTATGACTATTACTGTTTATTCGAATAGTTTACTTAAGATATTTGCGAAGTAAATTTTTCTAAAAGCTTTTATCAATACTTTCAATTGTTTTGGACACCTGTTTCTACCAACGCTGGCTACTTCTGCCTGCATCGTAATCCAATTCAATATAATCCTGATCAAAATCATATTTGAAAAGAAAACAGTTGGTTTACTGTATGACACACTAACCTTCATCACATCTTACCATCGTACTTTTTCTTCTGTCTTAACACGTTCCCAGCGGCACAGATTGATCTGTACTTTCCATTACTGCGTTACGAGGCGTTTAAAACCTTGTCTTAAACCAGACATTGTGGCGGCACGAGGCTTATTAAACCCCACCGCCCTTACCTTCACCCCACCAAAATCCTTTTTTTGGTGCCAAATATGACAAATTGTACAGCTTTTGTCGCGATTATTATTAACAATGAGTTCATTAACCTATATCTGCCGCCGCCTATGGTTAGATTATTTAGTTTAGATTCTATAGGTAAAATAAAATGTGGGGTCTGATGTACCTCGTACCGCACTGAAAAATAGCAGATTTTCATATTATTTAGTGATGGGAAAATAAATATCGATTTTATTTAATTGTATTTATTTATCAAAGTTATGGATGTTTTTCATTAAAACACGTCAAGCAATAATATTTTTTGCAACTAGTGCATTCTGTGAGAATTTTCTTCACTTTTTTGTCAGCCTCACGACTTGTCAAGAAGGCGCGGAGTTTATCGTAACATCCTACACATCTCCTCTTCTTTGATCCCTTTTCGAGATGATGTGCATTGTTTGCAGTGGCTTCTGAAAATAAAAAATGTGTATTTGTGAAGCGGATTAGGGCCAACCCACACGGACCACAACCACGCGACAACCACAACCACACCACAACCACACCACGTGGTCGGGCGCATATTTTGTATTGAAAATGAATAGTTTAATTCACACGTACCACGTGGTGTGGTTGTGGTGTGGTTGTGGTTGTCGCGTGGTTGTGGTCCGTGTGGGTTGGCCCTTAATTAGTTTAAAAGCGTAATAAGGGACTTAATATGTGTAAATGCATGATAATACGTTACAAAACTTTAGATATAATAATCAGTTCCAACTCGACTCTACTCTGCGCAACATTGTTAATTTTTTTTTATTTTATTCCTTCTCCTGACAAAAGCAAACACATCAAAAAAAGAATTAGCGAAATCGGCACGACATAACGCGTGAACGGCTGAACAGATTTCGCTAATATTTTTTTTGTTATATTTGCTATTGTCAAGAGAAGGTTCTTATAAAAGAAAAACATTAAGAAAATTGTGCAGTAGGGTCAAGCTGGGTAGATTAAGGTAAGAGTAAGGTAGATTCGGGTAGAGTCGGATAGAAGTTGGGTAAAGTTGGTTAGAGTAGAGAAGAGTTGGGTAAAGTTGGGCAAAAGAGTTAAATTTTGATGAACAAGACGTCTGCCGGGTCCGCTAGTTAATTCAATAAACAAACACATTAATAGTTATTATGATCATCAGCCTATTTGAAGAAAGTTACTCAACATGTCACATTCATGTTTCCATTAACATATAACGAGTAGTTAGGATATTTGAAAATTACCTGTATCCACGTCCAAGTCTTTCTTTGTAAAAGCTTCAATAACTTGTTCCACAAATAGTCTCTTTGGCATTTTATTTCTATCATCATTAATTGAATTATACACAATCCAGGCGTTAATAAGGGCTGTACCAAATATTAGCTCCATTATTACTTTCCTCCACCATTTAATTCCTTTCTTTAATGTTGTATAATACGAAGACATTTGATCACTGTAGTCAATTCCCTTTTTTGTTTCATTGTACATTATAACACATCCGGGTTTTTTAATACTTTCGTTAGTGCCTCTCTTCTTTTTCCCAGTATCTATTAGTTTATCGTCATGATCTTTGCACGTAGTCAACATTAAAACTTTTCTTTTATCTACCCAGTTCAATATTTTCACGCCCTTTTTGTTCATTTTTCCAATAATCTGGCCCTTTTTTATTTTCGCATTAATAACTTTCTTTGGCAAATATTTTCTTCTTATGTTTAAAGTTCCACATAGAAAAGTTTTTTGTGATAGGAAATTTTCTGCCAGACTCAACGAAGTATAGAAATTATCTACTATTACGATTCTTCCCTCTTCTGTCAAATTGTTCATCAATTTTAATACTACTTTCTGACTGTGATCGACTTCTCGCTTCTGATCTTTTTTACCTGTATAAATCTCTATTTGGTAGGTATAACCTTCGGGGGTGCAAAGTTTGTACAGCTTAACGCCATATCGGTGAGATTTGTTTTTTATATACTGACGGAAACCTAATCGCCCTCTCCAGGGTATCATTGTCTCATCAATTACTACATATTTTCCGGGGTTTAATATATTCTGAAATTTGTCAGTGATCATCGAAAGCATATCTCTGATTTTATGTAGTTTGTCAGTTTTATCATCATTTGAGACATCACTGACATGCCAGCATTTTAATAGGAGTAAAAATCTGTCTCTTGTCATTGCTGAACGTATAAATTCGTTTCTGTATAATTTGTTCTTGCTCCAATACAAATTTATATGAGGTACTTTACATAAACCCATTGCCATCACAACTGCCAGAAATGTTTTCATTTCCTGAAAACTAGTATTAGTCCACTCTTTCATACGTGATTTACGTTTCATATTTTGTTGGTTTGTTCGTAAATAGTTTTGTGCATAATTGTTTGTCTCCAATGCCATTTTATTGATCATCTCATCTGTTACAAATAACTTATATACATCTTCAGGTGATTTTACAAACGGCGGTATATTGTAAGTATTTTCCCCAACAAATTCATCAAAATTTACGGGACTCTCCAATATGTCTTCCCACTCATCGTCATCGTTCTTGTTAGTTTGGCGGTCGAGCAATGCCTCTTCTGCGTCTAAAGTTTCGTTTTCTGTATCTTCATTTTCATCTTCTAATTCCTGTTCTTCGTCTATGCAAACCTCTAATGAATAATTATCAGATCCTTCCGAATCGCTTGAATTGTCATTAGAAGGACTATAATCCTTATCATCCCCGTTGTCACTAACATCTTCGATATTATTATAATTATTGGCATCAGGTGATTTTGAAATATCCTGTAAATTATCACGAGTTCTGTCTTCAGTTATCTCGTCATCGCTATTCAAATTTTCAATACTATCATAGTCTATTGAACCAGGCAATTTAAGTATAGTTGACAATTTATTACACCTGTTTTGTTGTTTTCGATCAACATCCTTCGAAACATTTTCAACAATCACAGAAACCTCTATTTCTCGTTTTTCTGCACATGTGGACAAATTAGAGTCGTCTGAAACTGCAAATTCAGACATATATTTTTTACTTGATCTCTTTTGTTCCGGTGTTTTAAGTAGTTCCTTTAAATTTTCCTCATTAAGAGATAAATCGCAGTCTAGTAAATTGGAGCGTGAAATTTCTGATAAAGAACTAGCTCTGCTCTCAGAAACTATATGACGGAAGTCTAATGAAGGTGAACATAGAGATGACGAACTTTTGTTTTGTTTTTTAATCTGATGTCTTGGGGTGGTTGGGGCACTAGAAGAGGGAAAGGTAACATTTTGTAAAACTTGACAGGTTTTTCCGGTACTTGGACTCAAATAAATTGTTTCTTTTTGTTCTATGGCTTCAACACGGTTCCTTACATCGTTATTTTTGGAATATCTAAGTCCCGTTTTTGCTTTGTTATGTAATTTTCCTGTATTTGTAATAATGATTGAGGTTGCATGTTTATTCATAATATGTTTTGGTTTTCGAATATCAGTCGGTTGAATTTCTTTACTTAAATTTACATCTTGTGGTGCTCTATATTCAATAGAATTTTTATTTTTTTCTATTTCAACAGTGTCAGATATCTTAAAACGTTTTATTGAAAAAATCTCTTCATCACTAGAATCTTCATTTTGCGGGGTATTACAACTTGGTGGGCTCTGAAAAACAATAGATACCTCTACCTTTAATAGTATTTTACAAATACAGGCTGCAGCTCGGGTGTGAATGGCTGTTTATTGAGTGTACCGATCAAAACGTGGCGTAAATGGAGTAATCATGTTCAGGATTTCAACGAATCATTTACCAAGCCAAAATAAATTTGCGGTCTGGCATTCAAAATACTTTTAATTAAAATTATCAATGAATAATATTTGAAAGCTCAAAATGGTAAGGGTAACTTTTTTATACGTTATTTATTCGTTTTGATTATAAAGTACCAAAATGTCGACAAAAACCCAATTTCAGTATGTTCAAAATAAATCACGGATATCAATTTTTATACGAAAACTATCATTTTGTTCGGTACAATTTTTATTAAGCTGCTAGTGAAAGGCTTCCGCAAAAGTTGTTTGTTAGCAGTAAATATTATTTTTTAATGGAGCATGCTATGTTCAGAGCTCATTGTATAATTATTGTTATTAAGTATTGCCGTTTTAAAGAAAAACGAATCAAGCATGCTAGTTGCAGGAGGTATCGCTTAATCATGAAGCATTGTATTTTTTTATTATACTCCAGGTTTTCAAATGTAACTGGTTTTTATAATATTTTGCTGTTGTTCATTCCACAAATGTCAATTTTCCAAATATTACAAATTAGGTATATTAGTGATGTTAGTGTTAGTTAGTGTTAGTGTTAGTGTACTCTCGACACTAGGGTTTGCTGGGTCGATTGACCTGCGCTGCGACCCACTCGCTAAATAGAAGAAGTGTTAATGATTCCCGTCTTAAGCTTTTCACACAAAAACGCCAAAAAATATAGCTTAGTTAACTTAAAAGCACCACTCCAACTATTCAGTACGTACTCACAGATCCGTTAAATACCGTAATCCTTTATGCTAGATCGCTAAAAACAAAATAAAAATGTAGTTAATTCATAATAGCTGTCTGTGGATATAAAAAATCATAAAACTCACTTAAACACTTAATCAGAGAGGTTGACTAGTAGAACTACTTATTCCCACTAGCAAATCTGACGTATTAAAAAAAAGTCCTCGGAGTTTTGTGACAATTACCTTAAAAGGATATCAATTACCTACGTTTCCTGTATCAATCCTCCTATATACCTATATACCTACTGAACATTTTGAACAAGGACAGAAAGCGTGATTATAATATAATTCCTCACTATACAGATATACAGCTAGCCTATCGAGTCCCACTGCTGGGAGTCCCTCCCTATACATAGTATACAATATTATACACAATATTTTAAAATTAACGTACTTATTTAGCTGAAATTTATTTATTAAATACATAATTATTTCATCTATATTATTATTATTTATTCGGAGTAGGTATATTTATAAATATTAATTAGTGACTGACCTGTTTTTGAAATATCATCAGCGATTTTGACTCAGATTCACCACCCGGTTTTTCTTCATCATCCTCTTTAATTAACTTTCTTCGGCAACGTTTCGACATAATCGACAGCAGTTCTTCGTCGGGCGCGCAGCCTGGCATGCGTTGCACAACACTAACCGCGTGAAGCTAGCGTAGAGTGCGGTACGAGGTGCGCGGGGGTACGAGGTTTTCGGAACCTCTTACCGCACTGTGTTAGAATTTTATTTGTTCAGTGCGGCACGAGGTCTAAGAAACCCGGTATTAAAATAAGTATACCATAGAACTAGGAATCAATAGCACATCTCAGATATATAGTTATCTCTTTCCTATACTGAACCAGATGGAAGTTATGCCTCGCGCACGACAGAGAAGTTTAAGTTTTTCCTTACCGCTATAAAGACAAGACACGTACAGGGCGTTTCAAGCCCTGTTTCGCACTTAACGTGTTATTGAAGCAATCTTTTGGGTTCAACAAGTTCTTTTATGTTGAAGATTTCAGATTGTTGCATTTCTTTTAGATAAATTTGTCTTCAGAGACTTTAGCGTTCATGATGATACTATATACTTGGTCCGGTGTGTATAAAACTTTGTTTTTCAGAGCTCTTTCAATACATGCGTGCATGGAGTCGCCTTCATTTTGGCTATGCGCGCCAACAAAAAACCGATGGGTAATGTCGATTTGAAGAGTCATTGCAATGTAAAGATACAATGCAAAAATGTATCTGTTTTTATTCTGGCCATAACAACTATCAGAGTAAAATATAATTTTACGTATACCTGTTTCGTGTACGGTCTTGACAAATTGAAACAAGGAACTCCCTATTTCGATGCTCCCTTTTTTTCCGATTTGATCTTGCCAAACGTAACAGAACCCTAGTTTGTTTAGAGCGTCAAAAACTGTAAAATTATAAATCGGGTATTTACGTTTGTAGTGGAAAATTGACATATCAGACTGTGGTACATTCAAAACTTTTTCTAAATTAAAAATGGCCACAACGGTGTCATCTTTATTTAGTGTTTCTTTTTCTTCTTTTTTAATTTCACCAACTCTCTTTCATACTCAAATGTTTCCTGTAATTTTCTTCTAAAGACGCATTTTCAACGGAGTCAGCTTGCTGATATTGTGAACATAGAGTACACTGATCCTTTTTAGGCTTAAAAAAGGAATAGTTGTAGTTAGTATTAAACACTTTCATACTGTCGTTTTGAAGCCATCTCAACAATATTTGGATAGTTCTGATTTGCAAACCATGACTTGTAAAGTCGGTACATTTTTGAAATATTAAGAGATTCAGACAAATATTCTCGTTTAGACTCTTTTCTCGTGTAGAATCGCATTCTACTTTGGGAAATAAATCAATATGATTTCTGATACTGTCTTCTGTATCTAGCTTCATTTGATGTGGTCTATTCTGATGCCTGCCTCGTTTATCGATCAAACTTTCATCTCTTTAAATTTCTTCTAATGCCGTGTAAATCATTTGCTCAGTAATAGAAAGAGTGTTTAAAAAAACCTTGCATACTTGGATTTCTTCATCTTTGAGGGGAAAACAATATTTTAATGTTTGAGATCGGTTACTTTTTCTATTTACGGTTACCCTTTTAACATCATTGGATTTAACATGTCGTGTAATGTATTGCCATTGAAATTCTCGATTGGCAAGTTTATAAAAGTATGTAGATAGTATGTAGGGCTAACCTGTCTCCTGTATTGAATTTTAACCCGCAACCTTTTTTACAGGCACAATTACTTAAAATATTCTTTTCCTCATGATGTTTTTTTATTACGAGCACCTTCATATGCTTGGCCTGAATTTTTAAGTATCTTGTTCTTATTATCTCTCCATTCACTTGGGTCTCCTTTACGTTTTCTAATAAGCTTTTTTGGTTGGAGTTGATTTTGATTTTTGGATTCAGATACTTGGTTCATTAGTTCGTTTATATCATTGACAGCAGGCACTTCTACAGGGATAACTTGTATGGGTGTGTGGGTTGCGTAGGTAAAATAAAAAGTTACTCACAGTCTTTTGGTATTTACTTCGAATTACAACGCAACACTATATACATACAGAAGGAGTATAGCACAAGCACAGACAGTTCGCAGGAAAGTATAGAGTACAGAGAAGAAGCAGAGAAAGTTCACAATAATAATTTAACAATAAAAACAATATACGTAAGCGGGCAATTCTAAAGCGGTTAGCATCGAGCGACATGCACTTCGCGTCAGGAGCAGGTTCCGACTGGCGAGAGGTCCGTAAGACTCGGACGATGCGCATGAGTCGAACGAGGTGGCGAAAACAAAAGAATCGGTCTCGGTATGTTTGTTTCCATTTGCGATAAACGTCACGACGGCGTGCTGGCTGAGTGTAATAACGTATTGTGTGTTAATATAAAATTAATGTATAAATACATATACATAATATTTTATATAAATATTATAGACATATATTGAATACTGTTTAATATTAATAAATAAATATAATAGTATGATGCTAAATAATAAATGTTATAAATACATAATTTTATAAATGTAGGAGAATAGCCTACATCACTCCCCCCAGAGACCATCCTATGGGCGATAATAGTCCGGAAACCGAACTCGGCGTCCAGAGCGTGTTACGCGTTGTGTCTCTATGTGTGGTGTTGGTGTGTGTAGAGTGTATTTGTCTGTGAGTATGTAGGCCGGTTTAAGTCGCTCTATCGATACAGTGACTTCTTTACCCTTGACCAGAAGCTTAAACACTTTGTTACCGCGTGTGTGGACTTTACGTGGACCGGTGTAGGCAGGTTGTAAAAAACTTCGCAAAACATCTTCGCGAAGAAAAACATAGTCGCAAGAATTGAGATCCTTAAAAACAAATATCTTCTCGGTGTTGTGCCGAGTCGTTGGTACCGGTTGCAAGGTCTTGGCGATATTACGGAGTCGTGCAGTGAACTCAGTGATGTCCACGGGGCCATCTGTACTGGGTTCAAAGAATTCGCCGGGCAATCGAAGAGGCTCGCCGTATACCAGTTCTGCGGAAGACGTTTGCAGATCAGCCTTAAAAGCACTGCGTATGCCAAGTAGGACCCATGACAGTGATTCAATCCAACCGCTGTCGGCATGACACATAATAGCGGCTTTTAACTGTCTATGAAATCGTTCGACTATTCCATTGGACGCAGGATGATAAGCTGTTGTGCGCTTATGTTGAAAGCCAGCAGTTCTTGATAGGTGTCGAAACAGGGCTGATTCAAATTGTCGTCCTCGGTCTGTGACAATTTCCTCAGGACAACCATAGCGAGCGATCCAATGGAATAGCAGAGCTTGTGCAACAGTTTCGGCTGTAATGTCGGCTATTGGTACTACCTCAGGCCATCGTGTAAAACGGTCGATTGCGGTGAGGCAGTAGCGGTAGCCTTTTGATAATGGAAGTGGACCTATGAGGTCTATATGGACGTGCCTAAAACGCGTGCGAGGTAAGGCGAAAGTACCCCAAGGTGAGGATACGTGTCGGCTCACCTTGGAGCGCTGACAGGCAATAAAAGTTTTAGCCCAGTCTCGACAGTCCTTCCTCATACCTGGCCAGACGTAGCGTTTTGCTACAATTTGAGCAGTGGCATTTGCTCCAGGATAGCTCAGGGAATGAAGACTGTCAAAGACTTGTTTGCGAAGGGGTTTGGGTACAAATGGTCTACGGATTGGTGTACTTATGTCACAGTACAATGTAGTACTGCAACCAGGAATGTTGAACTGTTCAAAGCGGAGTGACGACGAACCAGTTTTTGTAAGCTGGGCAAGTTCTACGTCATTGGCTTGGGACTCAACTAAGGTAGCGAGATCGACGGGCGCTTCCAGTTCCTCAACGCGACTTAAGGTGTCGGCAACAATGTTATCTTTGCCAGATATATGCCTTATGTCGGTTGTGAACTGGGCTATGAAGTCTAACTGTCTATACTGACGAGGCGAGCAGTTGTCTTTCCTTTTATGGAATGCAAAACTGATCGGTTTATGGTCGGTATAGATGGTAAAGTGTCTCGCCTCCACCATATGACGAAAGTATTTAATAGCTTCATATATAGCTAATAACTCTCTGTCATATGGGGAATACCTCTGCTGAGTTGGGCTTAACCTACGCGAAAAGAACGCAAGTGGTTGCCATGCTCCGCCTTTCAGCTGCTGAAGTACAGCACCTATAGCTACGTCCGACGCATCTGTTACTAATGCCAATTTGCTAATAAAGCTGCGTTAGGCAGACTACGTTTGCAGTCTTCAAAAGCTTTGATTTCTTTATCTGTCAAAGTTATTGGTTGGCGACCTTTGACTGCGCCAGTCAGGAGGTTGTTAAGAGGCGCTTGTGTTTGGGCGGCATCGGGTAGAAATCGCCTATAAAAATTAATGATACCCAAAAATCTCCTCAACTGCCGTACTTCCTTGGGTTGCGGGTACTCAAGAATGACTTGTACCTTTTCTTCAAGGGGCTTGGTGCCACTTTCCGAAATACGGTAACCAAGGAAAGTGACTTCGTCAGCACCAAAAATACAGTTAGAGGTGTTTATAAGCATCCCATATCTCTTGAGTCTGCCAAATACTTCGCGAAGATGTTTCTCGTGTTCCTCTTCATTTCGTGAAAATATTAGAAAGTCGTCAAGATAACAGTAACAAAATTCTAAGCCCCTGGTCATCTCATCCACGAATCGTTGGAAGGTTTGCGCTGAGTTGCACAAGCCGAACGACATGTAAGGGAACTGATAAAGTCCAAACGGTGTAGTAATTGCAGTTTTTGGGATATCGCACTCACTGACAGGTATTTGGTTATAAGCCTCAACCAGATCGATAGTACTGAAGACCTTACAACCAGCTGTACTATGGGTAAAGTCGTGTATATGTCTGATTGGATACCTGTCAGGGATCGTGCGAGCGTTGAGCATTCTATAATCTCCGCACGGGCGCCAACCGTTGTCTTTTTTGGTGCGAGGTGAAGAGGTGATGACCATGAGCTATCTGAAGGTCTAGCTGTACCATTGGCTAACATGGATTCGAATTCTTGTCGAACAATTTTGAGCTTGTCGGGTGCTAAGCGTCTTGGGGAAGATGTTACTGGTGGGCCTGGTGTCGTGCGAATGTGGTGTACAGTGTTGTGTGTTATCGTGTGTTGTGTACCAGCGGGTCGCGTGATTTCAGGAAACTCACCTAAAATTTTATGATACCGCGAGCTGCCAGTCGAAACCTTCACAGATGAAACAGAATCTGGACAAGAAATTAAAGATACATTAGTAACTAAAGTAGTTGTACTATCTATTAATCTTCTTTTCGTGTGAGGTACTCAAACGCTTTATGAGCTCTGTTTTAAGCTTTATATATGGCTGGTGGGTTGATAATGATGTCTTTGACCTCTTTGCAAAATTGATGGTCTAGCTGGCCGATGACATAACTGAACTTTGTGGAATCGCTCGTGATACCAGATATAGCAAATTGGCCCTCAACTTGTGCAAACCATATTTCTGGTTCTTCTGGCCAAAAAGGTGGTACACGCACTCCTACCTTAAAAACTTCGGATGACGTATCGGAGGCGTCAGTGGAAGCGCGCTCTCCGCTTACCCCCTGTTTAGATTGTTGGGTGTGGCTGCCGCTACTTGCATCTTCAAATTTATCTCTGCGATCCATTATTTTGGTATTCAAAGCGGGGGTCACCAATGTGGGTTGCGTAGGTAAAATAAAAAGTTACTCACAGTCTTTTGGTATTTACTCCGAATTACAACGCTACACTATATACATACAGAAGGAGTATAGCACAAGCACAGACAGTTCGCAGGAAAGTATAGAGTACAGAGAAGAAGCAGAGAAAGTTCACAATAATAATTTAACAATAAAAACAATATACGTAAGCGGGCAATTCTAAAGCGGTTAGCATCGAGCGACATGCACTTCGCGTCAGGAGCAGGTTCCGACTGGCGGGAGGTCCGTAAGACTCGGACGATGCGCATGAGTCGAACGAGGTGGCGAAAACAAAAGAATCGGTCTCGGTATGTTTGTTTCCATTTGCGATATACGTCACGACGGCGCGCTGGCTGAGTGTAATAACGTATTGTGTGTTAATATAAAATTAATGTATAAATACATATACATAATATTTTATATAAATATTATAGACATAAATTGAATACTGTTTAATATTAATAAATAAATATAATAATATGATGCTAAATAATAAATGTTATAAATACATAATTTTCTAAATGTAGGAGAATAGCCTACAGGTGTTCCAGGTTGGCCAAGTCTGTCAGGTTCCTCGTCAACAGAATTCCGACTTGGTTGATCAATACAATCCCAAGGGTCTAAGTTCATATTATTGTTAATGTCCTGTTCTATCAAATTTTCTTCAGAATCCTCTAAAAATATTCCTTCTACCTTTAATTTTTCTTGATCGGCTTCACTAAGTGTTTGGTTTATGGTCATTGGACTTTTTTTGGTTGTTTTTTTTTGTTGTTTTTCTCTTCATTATAGCTTATAACACTGCGCAAACTTGTGTCTATTTCACAGTCATTTATTAAACTATTTTCTTCATTAAGTCGTTCATTTTGCTCGATTGTTTGAATCGTTGTTTATGTCTATAGCTTTATCAACAGTAATGCTGTCAGTGTCGGGAGATTCCGGTTCAATTTTTATTTCAATTTTGAATTTCTGCAAAACGTAGTTCGTTTTTTCATCGGAATTTTCTGTGGTTTCTTGTTCTTTCTGCATTAATTCTGAGTTAGTTATATTATAATCAGAGCTGGTAGGCTTAGTTGGTGTTAGTGTTTTTTCTAGGTCGTCACTTGTTGACTGAAGGGTTATCTCAGCAAGGTTATGTTCACTGGTGTAAGTGTAATATCTAGAAGTTTAAAAGGTGTATTATCTTGTTTTTTCGGAGAATTAAAAAAGTTCGTTTTATAAATGACAGTAGGAGACGCCACGAAAACAGTTTCACCCAGCGTTAGAGATAAATTCGAAACCGTAGATGGAGATCGCGTGATGTTTTCAATACGAAGCAAATTATCTATAACTAGCGAATCACCTCCGAGACTAGAAGTATCATTTTTTTGCAAATGTGAGGTACTAGAGGAAATTTCAATAATATCCGTATCTTGCAAATTAGTAACGAGGCTCGAAGTACTTCGATTGTCAGGTAATTGACACTTTGGACTTGGTATGTATTCAGAACAATCAGGAGACAAATCCTCTGTGTCATTCTCGTAGTCAAAGTATTTTATATTTGATGGTTCTACAACAATAAAAAGCCTTGTTTTAAAATAAATCTTAAAATATCTAAGCAGGTAATACTTAAAGCGATTAAATATCAAATCTCGTAATCATATAGATATTAACTGACGCGGCAATATAATTATTACAATATTGTCATATAATATTAATTTCACCTATACTTTAGGTTAGTTCAAATGTATTTAAGACAACAATCAAATAATTACTTGCAGTACCTTTCACTCGAACGGACTCTTCGTGACTAATATTAGGTAAACAAACATTATGGGACGACCGAGCGAAGTGGGCGGAGCAATAGCTCTTGCCGTTGCAATAGGCATAACCGAAGACGGTACATGTCCTTACAGGTTAAGAAAACGAGCGCGGTGTATTGGTAATAGTCTATTTATGTTTAGATGATATATTATAACTTACACGAATATCGAATAATATCGTAATATCAATATAGAAAAGGGTTGTGTAAGGGGCCACTCGATAATGAATGTAGCTGAAAATCGTTTTTTTTAATAAAACTTTCAATAAGCCTGTACTAGCACTTACTTAAATAAGTGCTAGTACAACTAAAACTATTTACCCGAATAATATCGTAACAATGTTTACTGTCAAATCATATTGATGTTTTTTTTCGTAAATATCTTAAACCAAATTATTCGTTAAAAAAAATTTAATGAATTTTTATGGAATATACGCGTAGTTTTTCATATCTTCGTAAATAAAGATTTTTTTACATAAAAATTCTGAAAATAAATTGCATGGTGTATTTTAACTTCTAGATGCCGAAAAACGCATAACATGAAAATCCCCGTAATAGGTCATTACCAGATTATTCGCGGGGGACGTCGAAATGTATATATAAATAACTATAAACATTAAACATATAAAGTAAGTTGACTCAACTTTGTAGGCTACGGATATGCTCATATAGTTTTCTTTTAAAAACATTTTGGCAGGTATTGTTCGCAGGTTAACAGGCTATTTGTTCCAAAGGGTAATGGAAGTAACTGTGAAAGAATTTGACATAGACCCATAATGTTGGAGAGGAGTAGACAGGAATAAACTGTGTGAAGAACGGAGATTGAGAGAATGAGTGTCACTACGGAATTGAAATATTTCTTTTAGATAAAGGGGTGAGGAATTCTGTATTAGTGTCAGGCGTGACAACGCATATACATTTTAGTACTTAGTTGAGGATATGTGTGGGTGGTCTGTCTACTATTTGAATATCTAAACTGCCTCGTCGCTCTAGTGGTCGTGCGCGACCACTGAATCAAGTTTGAATAAGGGGTCGGGCTCAAAATCAATTATTATTGAGTTTTTCTGTCGAGAAATTCTCATTAGCTGCCCGGAGTCAGGAAATCGGTGGTGTTTCACCTCCGTGCGTCGGAAAGTACGTAAAGCCGTTGGTCCTGCGCCTGATCTCTCTCCGGTCGTGTCAGGTTGTCGTGCCATCGGACTAATTAGAGTGAACGAATGAGAGAGTGCACTCGCGCCTGCGCATACACTTTAGCACTATAATTAAGTCCTGCGAAATGGCTAGTCTCTATTGAGACTGGCTAGTGGCCACTGCGAACAGAATTCGATCTGGAGCACATCGTAATACCTAAGCGTTGTTACTAAGATCTGTCTCAAAATGTAACATCATCGTGACTTTTATAACTTTAATCCATTACAGTCTCAAGCCATGCTGCAAGATCACAGCTGGAGCCACGCGGAGTCAAAGCAGTTTGAGTGCCCGCAGTGCCACAAGCTGTTCCAGCGGCGCTACCTTATGATCCACCATTGGCGGTCGCACCTGATACCGAGGGCGAAGCACCAGTGTACCGTTTGCAACAAGACGTTCAGCAACGCCAGCAACTTACATCGACACAAAGTGGTCAGTACTACACGATTAAAAAACTAAATGATTATATAATTAAATTTTTCAAGAAAAGAGCCTACTCCTTTTTAAAAGGCCGGCAACGCATCTGCGATTCCCCTGGTGTTGCAGTTGTTCATGGGCGGCGGTAGTTACTTACCATTAGGTGAACCGCATGCTCGTTTGCCCCCTCTCCTATAAAAAAGAAACGAACACACAGACCACCAGATGGTATGTGGATGCTGTGGCCCATATACATCTTTTTTTTTATAGGATAAGGGTGACAAACGAACACACAGTCCACCTGATGGTAAGAGGTTGCTGTGGCCCATACCAGCATAAGATAGCATATAAGTCCTCACAGGCGACAACTCATCTGCATTTTGATTCGTAATCGAGGATAAATGTAGATGTGTGCTCGTTTGCAACCCTTATTCTATAAAGAAAAAATGGCTTGGTTTTTTCATCGCTTGAAATATACTCAGCGTTTCGTCTTTATTTCCTTGTTCGCTCTTTGCACACTAATAATATGTGATGAGATTTCAATTGTATGTCAACAAATTTTTTCAGATCCACACTGGCTTAAGAAATCAAAAGTGTGAGATATGCGGGAAATGCTTTAAAGACATCCCCACCAAGAAAATTCACATCACATATGTTCACTTGAAGAAGCCGTGGCCGAAGAGGAATAGATCTAAGACGGCGAAGGCGAGACAGGTAAATTTTTATTTATAATTAATAGAATCAGGCGTTACTTTGCGGAAATCCATTATATTAAAGCTTTTTAAAAGTTACTTCGCAAACATTCACTCTATAAAAATAATGTGTGACCTAGTATGAAGAGATATATACAGACAGCTGACGCAACCTGTATAAATGTCAGTTGTTTTGGATCACCGCTCACTCAACGGTAAGCCACCGCAGAGTCTACATCACCTGAGGATGCCTTGTGTAGAGGCGAAACACGTGTCGTGTTGTCGTCAGTGGTGTGTCTATCCTAGTGTACGGGTGTTGGGAGTAGTGGTGCTGGGATTAGTGGTGACGGGGATAGTGCACGCAATTGAGGGAGGGCGGGAGGTGCTCTTCATACTAGGTACGACACATCATTTTATTTTATAAAGCGTTATGTTTGCGAAGTAACTTTTTAAAAGCTTTAAATTTTTATTTATTTATTGTATCTACTTACTGCTATCATTACAAAATTGCCCTCGTACGACAAATAAGTCAGTCGTAAGTGTTACATATCATAAGTCTATAAAACTAAAATATAGAAATAACAAAGTAGACTTTTGCCTAGTTCCGAGAAGATCCGAATAAATCAATCAGCTCAGCGACCGTACTGAGCGTACGTAGCGCGCGGGTGAAAATACTTTGACACCTGGAAAGCATGTCAAATGTGGTTAGAACCACGTTGCAGTTATATTATAGTTGTAGAACGAATGTGTCGGCTCGGCCGGGGAAGGACCACGCTCTCACAGCATACCACCGTGAAATACTGAAATAGCATTCTTCTTGTTACATGTACATACAATATTTAATACCCAGTGAAAAACTTAAACCATACCGTGTAGTGGCGGTGTAAGAATATCCACTACCCCATATCATTCCGTGGGTGTCGTAAGAGGCGACAGAGGGCAACAAATCAGGAGAAGAGGAACGACTAAAAATAAAAAAAACTGCGGTTGCTAACTAGCTTACCAAGCGTGGCAACTATGGCAAACATCCACTCTATGAGGCAATCTACAGGGGAAGCCATAGATTGCCTCATAAGAGAGATATTATGTCCAGCAGTCGCTGTAACGGAAAAACTTAAATTGTCTCGATTTTTAATCATTCTCAAAGCTTCTTAACCTAACCCTATTATTTTTCAGGCTACTCTCACACAAACTCCACAACCCACCAATGAGAGCGAGAGAAATACAGAGCAACCCATGTGGTCCGAGTGTAACGAATCCTAAGAGACAATTGTAGTCAACTCTGTGTATTTTTTATAATTGTGTACTATTATAATTATAATTGTACGAAGTAAAACTTCTTTACGACATATTATCCTTCTTTTATTTTCTATTTTTTTTATTTCACGTCAAAATGAAACTATTAAAATAATTAAAATATTTTACGTATCGGCATACGAGTTGAGATGAACTGACTCACACCACTGCAAAATGTACTGATGGCAAAAAAGGCAAACGAGTGAATTAGAGAATATAGTTGAAATCAGTGTCAGGCACAGCTTGGGAAGATGACGTTTGGAATCGAAAGTCAAAAATGCTGCCCCCTAACGAAACCTCTCCCCATCCCATTTCCAAAGTATAAAAATAATAAAAGCAATATAACTATTTTCAAAACTTACTTAACTTGCCAGACTTTTACCTAAACCAGTTATTACAGCCTTTCACAAGTCCACAGCTGAACACCTGAACATAAGCCTCGTTTGTATAGTTGGCGGCATTTTGGGCAATGAAAGTCATCACGTCTCCTTACCTTTTTTAAATAGTCACAGTAAAAATGTCAACAAACCCACTACCCCATATCATTCTGTGGATGTCGTAAGAGATGACAAGGGGAAATGAAACAGATGGCCAAAATCATCTTCCTGAAGATGGCTTAACCGGTTCAGTGCGGGTGACACGCCAGGCATGTTTTTTTTTAAATCGTTATAACTCGCTCAAATTGCTTTTTTGGAAAAATTATCCAGAACAAAATATTCATTATTTTGCGAGTAGTTCATGCATGCAGCTTCGTTTCTGGATATTTTGAAATTTTTAGGGGTTGACAACCTTTTTTTAACGTGTACATGGTACTATTTTTACTTTGTGGGTTTTAAATCATGTTATGGAAAAATTGTCTAATAAGTAACAAATAATAGCACTCATTGCGATTGCTCACAAACTCAAGTTGTAAATAAATTTCTGGAAAACAAGTCTCCTGTTAAAAAACAAAGAATGCGTTTGTCTTATTGTTTAATTTTGCTTAAAATGGTTGAACTGCCCTCTTATGACTATCATATGACCGAACAGACCTACGAAGTACCATGTGCTCTTGTGATACGGTATAAGGATTATTTTTGTTTGAAACTGTTCGAAACCGTTCATGCATAAAATAAGTTCGCTAATAAATAGTCTTTTGTCAATCCGCCGCCGTATAGCGCCGGCGTCTTTTTCCTTTTGAAAACACTTGTTTTGCTATTCTTACTAAGTAGACGTTTTCAAATCGACTTTACTTTTACATTTGTATAACATTAAATAATATTTAACATTTGCAAATATCAATGAATCATAATTTATTAAACCTTATTTTTTTCCAAATTAAGGTTCTTGATTGTTTGATATTTACAAATGTTATTATTAGGTGAATATTCAATTTAATAAAAGCTGTACCTACTTATATAAATGATTTTTGTATAAAACAAGAAATAGTACAAAAGGTTTGTAATCTATGCATAAAAAAAGTCACTTACTCTCAATTTCAAAGAAAACACGTAGAAAAACACGTAGTTACCCACTAAAAACAAGTATCCTTCCGTTTGTAACTGATGTTTGATGTCAACTAAACTTAATTAGGTCTAAACAAGTAAAAAAAGCATAAAAAAGAATATTACTTTTACACATGGCGGATGGCACAATAGGCGTGTCATTTTTGTCTGTGGCGCTTGACACGGCCGGCGTGTCATGAAATATTTGTTCGCCGCCACAGCTAAAAGTTGTCGAAAATTGGTGCCGCAACGAATCGGTTAAAATAAATCAACTGCGGTTGACAAACCTGCCAAGCGTCAACTATGGCAAATATCCTCCCTATAAGGCAATATATGGGCGAGACTTATGGTTCAGCAGTAGACTTCTGATAGCGTGTAATGAATGTGTGATGCAATGTGAAATAGATGTATAATTTGCCAATACTAGTGTCGTTTACCAGTTTGTTTTAAAATTCGATTGTTTTAAAGAAGCTTATTAGTCAGCGCTTAGCTTAGATTAAAAAAACGTGCAATTTATTTTGCAGTCAGTACACAAAAAATACTGCTTGGTAAATACAGTTGTGAAGTGTGAAGCTGTGTGCGTAACCTGGACTCTTGTGCCTACTATCGTCGATATTTTAAATCACGATATTTCGATATATCGATATTTATTTTAGAGTATCGAATTCGTATAAATTTCGATATATTTTAAAATGTTGTATAATGACAAAAAATTGTAACAACAAAAGGAGGTACAAAAGTATTCATGTGTGGTTGGTTGTCGTTTTTCAACCGGCAATAATATAAAATTTTGGACATTTTCTTTACATCATGCAAATGATGACGATATATCGATATGTCGATATTTATCACGCGATATATATATCGATTCGATATATAAATATATATATATATATATATATATATTTATATAGATATATATCCATTCGATATATAAATATATATATATATATCGATATTTTCCCCCGCCCATCCCTACCGACACCTTTAAAAATAAGTAGAAAGGATTTTTTTTAAATTTGGTGCACAGAGGATCTTAATAGAAATCTTTAATCTTAAAAAGGAATATTTAAATCATTGTTTTGTGTATTAAATTATTTGTGTATTATGTTATAAGGAATATTGTAAATAAATGTTTAAAGAAAACCGCTGTAACCGGCACGAAGCGACATGGGGCACAGTCTTGGCAACGTTATCTTCTTTGCTTGTGCAGTATTTTTTACTACTTGAACGAGTGGGTTTCTTTTACATGAGAGGGGGCAAACGTGCATGCGGCTCACCTGATGGTAAGTGACTACCGCCGCTCACGAACAACCGCAACACCAGGGGAATTGCAGATGCGTTGCCGGCCTTTTAAAATAGAGTGAGCTAATTTTTTGAAGGTCCCTATACGGTATCGGTCTCGAAAAATCGCCGGTGGTAAACAATTCTACAAAGAATGCATGTGAGGAAAAAAAGTTAAAGGTTGAAGCGTTTTAACGCTTATAAGCGATGTCTACATCAGTGCGCTTTCAATTTCGCTTTCATGTTCATTTTTCAACTTTCAATTCGCCTTGCGTCAAGCGCTGGGCCATAAGACGCATGCAGCTTATCGTCTATACTCGTGCGCTTGTCGCATACAACTCGTCTATACGTCACGCACCTCGGTTAGGTTTGGTTAGAGATGGACTCGACACTAGTAGCTATCAGTGCGGCATATTTTGTTTGTGTGCAATGCAGGGAAAAATGCAAAAAAGAGGAATCTGGATGAAAGATTAGCCAAAAAGTACGAAACAGAACACTCATTATGTAATGTTTTAACTTTTGACTTCCGCCATTTTGTTTACTAAAATACACGAAATGTTGCATGCAAACCCACCAGTGACGGATAAGCGTTCGCTAGAGATATACGCTGTTGTCGTAGTAGTTTTAACGCATGCTCTGTTGCATACGTTATGGTTGTTCAGGCATGCGTTAGAGAAAGACGCAAGATGAACAGGAAAGCGCACTGGTGTAGACATAGCTATTGGTTTTCTACCTTCATTCGTAACAATATCTATACGTGGTGGAGCCATGCTGCAGCTATATTAGTAGTATAGTTGTAGCACGAATGGGTCGGCTCGACCGGGGAAGGGCCACGCTCTCACAGAATACCAGCGTAAAATAGCAGCTTAACACTGCTGTGTTTCGTATGGTGAGTGTAGAGAACCGGAGACCCTTTTTACTGGAAAAGAGGCATTTCATCTTAGTCCTCACGGGTGAAAACGCATCTGCATTTTGATTCTTTATTGAGGATAGATGAAGATGTCTATGTGTCACAGCAACCATTTACCATCAGGTGGACCGTGTGCTCGTTTGTCACCCTATCCTATAAAAAAAAATATAAATGTATGCCCAATAATTTTGCTCAGATAAAAACCTAGGTTTTTCCAGAGATCACCGAAATAAAGCAAGTAGAGGGAGGCGCGAAGACTTGAACCTTGATACTCTTTTTCCTGTTTTACGGTCTTCTGGTCAGATATGCTTTAAATTGCTGGATCATTGACTAAGGATGGCCCGTTATTACACGTAGTGATGTCCGTGTACAATGAGTCAACCGATCTCGTCAAGAACTGATTCCGGAGGCTGCACATTTAATATTGTGAATCATTCATTCACCCGTTATAGCCTATTAACCGATTCGTTGCGACACCAATTTTCGACAACTTTTAGCTGTGGCGGCGAACTAATATTTCATTACACGCCGGGCGTGTCTAGCGCTATTGTGCCATCCGCCATGTGTAAAAGTAATGTTCTTTTTTATGCTTGTTTTACTTGTTTAGACCTAATTAAGTTTATTTGACATCAAACATAAGTTACAAATGGAAGGATACTTGTTTTTAGTGGGTAACTAGGTGTTTTTTTACGCGTTTTCTTTGAAATTGAGAGAAAGTGACTTTTTTATGAAGAGTTTACAAACCTTTTGTACTATTTTTTGTTGTTATAAAAAAATCATTTATATAAGTAGGTACAGCTAAATCACCCTAGAAACCTTGGTTTTTATTAAATTAAATTTTCACCTAAAAATAACATTTGTAAATATCAAACAATGAAGAACCTTAATTTGAAAAAAAAAAGGTATATCATTCATTGATATTTACAAATGTTAAATATTATTTAATGTTATACAAATGTAAAAGTAAAGTCGATCTGAAAACGTCTAATTAGTAAGAATAACAAAACAAGTGTTTTCAAAAGGAAAAAAACGCCGGCGCTATACGGCGGCGGATTGACAAAAGACATTTATTAGCGAACTTTTTTTATGCATGAACGGTTTCGAACTGTTTCAAGCAAAAATAAACCTTATACCATATCACAAGAGCATATGGTACTTCGTAGGTCTATTCGGCCATATGATAGTAATAAGACGGCAGTTCAACCATTTTAAGCAAAATTAAACAATAAGACAAACTCATTGTTTTTTTAACAGGAGACTTGTTTTCCAGAAATTTATTTACAACTTGAGTTTTTATTTTTTGTTATTTATTAGACAATTTTTCCATAACATGATTTAAAACCCACGAAGTAAAAATAGTACCATGTGCACGTTA